GGAGTGGAGAGAGAGAGAGAAAGAAAGAGAGAGAAGGTGAGGAGAGGATGAGGACTTTTTTGTAATTATATAAAATTTGTAATAATCGTGGATGGCGCGCGCTGCGTGCTAGTCCTATCTAAAAAAAGACATGTTAAGTTGAACTCGAAATGTATCATTGTTCTCGAAAGTCTCGAAATTATTTGTTGACTCTTTTCCGCGACGGTTATTGGTTCTCTCGCTGCGCTAACTTGGTGAACGGTTGTCATCGCGGAGATTTTGTACTGAGGTTATTTATTTAATGTGTCATTATTTATTTAGTGTTGTGGTAATCACATCAGCGCTTTGTGTAGTGTCTGGTGACTCTTTTTCGCGACACTGATTAGTCGCTGATTTCTCTGACAAACGCCTACCATCGCCAAGATTATCTATTCCAGTCGTCTCAGATTGTGAGGGGTTAATCACAGTGTAATAATGTTGTACTATAATTTCTGTTTTAAAGTTTATATATATATATGGATGTCAAATAAGTTCCTGTACAAGTTTTATTACATGGATGTGCAATCCTGACTTATTATTAGATGAAATCCTGATTTAGATGTTTTTGTTCTACAAAGCTGATTCTACAAAGATGATTCTTGATGTAAAATAGAAGATTATCATTTCAAGATTCTTGTGAAAAAACATATCGAAGTGAGATTCTGCAAATTAAACCTTAAGAGATATCCTTTTCTGAAATAAACTTTGACAGTGGCATACTTAAATTTAATAATATTTATTTGTACATTACAGAACGGTTATGAATGGAATTATACCTACAATTGCATTTATTGTGAAAAAGATTACATCGTGGGTTTTAATGTGCGCTCTCAAGACCTTCTATATGACAGATTTCTTTTTTACACCCGACTAGCATCCTAGTTAATTAGTTAAAAGTTAATAATTTTTATCTTATTGTTAGTGAAAAATTTTAACTTACCTAACCCTGATAAATGTGTAGGTTCAGAATCTCCAGGTATTATAAGTTCACCAGTGTCCGCTTTTTCAGCACAATATACTTTTACTGGCTTCTTACATTCTTGCCCAATGATCTTTCTTAAAGGTGACGTTAGATATCGTTCACATTTTCCTTTTCCTTTGATTATTTTGCACTTCAGCAATACTTTTTCCGCGAATTGATTATCTATTATACATTTTAAAATGCTACCGCATTTACAAGTACCTGCAAAAAAGACAATTTCGCATTTATAATTATTGTTATTGATATAATTTCTAATATTATTATAATAAAAAGTATTTATAATATAATATATTTTATATAAATATCAATCTTTTCTAATGTTTACATTTTGCTTAGTGATTCATTTTTTGCATTATTGTTTATTACTGGTTTATTAATAATCAAATGTGCAATTACTTGAAGATACATAATTATAAAATTATATATTTACCGTTTATATAGCCAGATGCAGCATTGGATAAATAATGATTACGAAAAATAATATTACATTTAAATTTTATTGTACACCAAATATTATGTGAGATAAAAGTTTCTCATATTCCTGGCTGAAGTGTTTTCCAGAGTTTTTGTTTATTTTTTGTTTGTGTTGATTGTTTGTATTTTTTGAAAACAATTAATTTTTCAAATTCATTTTTTGCTACTTTTATTACGAAGTTAATATTTTTCTTGCTTTCTTGTGATATGACGGCAGAATTGTTGTTAAAAGTCCCTTCATTTATATTTATATTCTCTTTAGGGTTGGGTAGTGCCTATAGTTAAAAATATAAAAGTTAAGTTAAAAAAAAAGTTATGTCCTCAAGTGTCTTCACGTGTTTGTATAGTGCTAGTATTTTAAAAATGCCTTTACGGCATGTTTATATGTTGGAAATTTAACGTACACGTTACCCGTTAAAGCGGGTTGTTTATTCTTCGCACAGCAAAATTTTTTAATTTCACCGCACTCACTCAGTTCACGTTTTATATTAGTTTCAAATAAACTATAAAAACTTTCAAGAATCTTGTCACATTGGGTAGCCTCGTCAAATAACATAGATTGTCTAATGTATAATTGAAAAATATTAAAGATCACAATTTTGTTACTGCATCGGAACTCCGCGTGGTTTTCCCAACAATCGTTACCGCGCTTATAAACATAAAAAATTAATTATTTAAATATGGCATTTATATAAGTATAAATTTAACTCTTTTAAATAAAAGATAATAAGTTATACTTACATACACGTCCCGGTAAACGTATACGTTCTACATATAATTTTTTTCTTGTTTCTTTCAGGTCCCGATATTTTACTGGAATCAACTTATCGTCGAAATCATTGCCTAATAATTCTAAATATTGTATGTGACTAATGTCTTTTATTGAATTAAAATCTTGAAACCCCGATTCAACGATTTCTTCCCAGCTGGCCATTATCTTTGTGATAATGTCTTGTATCTGAGATAATATTAACAACTAAAACAAAATTACAAGACCTCTATATATATATATATATATATATATATATATATATATGTATATGTATATGTACATCCCCAGATTGTCCCCATCTCGGGGTAGGAATGAAATTTCTAACGTAGTTACACAGTAACGTAAGAACTTTCAAATTCAATGTACTTTGATGTATTTCGGTGATTGTTCGCAGAAGCCTAAAAATATGAAAATTTTTGTTATAATTAAAACTTATCTCAATTTTTATGTTAATTTTTTTTCTTGCTTTTTTTTACGTGACTTCTCGCAATATTGCTGTTGCATCTGATGTAATTCTCGCAGCGTGGCCGTGGGTTAGAAGTCAGAATCAAGATTCCTGGAATTGTGAACTATTTACGGCATCGTGAGCTTTGTCAAAATTTCCCGATAATATCCACATCTCCTCTCAGATCAGATACATTTAAATATATGCGTGACCAGAGTTGGTACAAATCATGTTTTTTTTTTTAAAGAACAAAACATTGTGATTTTTTTGGTTTAAAACATGTTTTTAATGTTTCAAACATGTTTTGAACGATATTTTTAAAAAACATGTTTAAAACATAAAAAAATACATGATTTAATCATGTTTTAATTTTAAATATACATAAGTCATAACTAGACATTATAAAATCAATACATTTCTCTATGTTACCGATTGATAGAATGACTATCTATTGTTAGGGTGCGGTCCACTTGATGCTACAAATGCTTCGAAGCATTTGATTGACCAATCAAAAGAAAGAATATTTATTAATGAACCAATCGGAAAATGCTCCGAAGCATTTGCAGCATCAAGCGGACCGTAACCTTAGAAGCTTAAATTCTAATATTTCATTTTCTACAGAGTAAATTAAAAATAAATTTTAACTGTAAAAAATTAGTTTTTTAATCAAAGATTTTGGTTTTCAATTTGGTTTTTATAATTATAATTATAATTATAATGGTTAAAATATAATTTATGTTTAGTTTATAAAATTTATAAAGGCAGTTTAATAAACTTATATTTTATATAAATCATAATAATTTATAAAATAAAATAAAAATAAACGTTATATTACAAACAAAACTAGTATGCAGATATTGTTCTTAAAATCCCTGTTAAATCTTTTCCTTAAAAAAATATGTTTTAAACATTTGTTTTAAACACGTTTAAAATCTGTACAAAACACATGTTTATTTTAAACAATATAATGTTTAAAACATGTTTTAAACATTTACTTTTTTTTGCTTTTTCAAAAATGTTTAAATCCACACAGAACGCGTCTCACTAAAGTCGACAGCGAGAAACTATCAAAAGATGTAACGTTTCGCATTACTACGCCAGTTAAATTCGGCGCCCTGAGGTCCGGCGCCACTGCAATGCGCTGCTTAGTGGGGGCCACCCACGCGGGTGCCGCGTGGAGGGGTCGCCCACGCGGATACCGCGTGGTGGGGGACGCTCGCCGGTATATAAAGGCCGACCGGCGCAAGCCGGGTTATCCAGTCCTGTCTCGACTCCTGTCCCGACAGTCCCGTCCGACTCCTTCCCGTCACTCCTCGTCGA